CGTCCTCCTCTCGATCATCGCGAGAGATCTCATTGTACATGTGTAGGCTCTTTGGGGATCCGTGTGTCGGCGAAGACAAGACGCTGAGCATCGCGGTGCAATGCGCCAACAGCTACGCGCGCCGTCTTCGCAAGTAAACTCCAGCTGGCCGTAGCCAAGTGGCCGCATGCCGACATCGTCCGCACGTACAATATGGAGACAAATTGCTGGATGGGATTGAATATACACGTTGTATTGTACCAAGAGTTTGCTGCTTCCTCCATTGTCGGTGTCAATGCTTAAGTTGGGTGTCGTGGCACGCTTGCCCGTCGCCAAGATTCCAGCCAATAAAAAGCGGTGTTTCTGCATCTTTCAAGTGGATTGGCGCTTCTATTTTTTATTTCAGCCAATCCAAACGGGGTCGTGGCGCCACGATGATAGGTCCCACTGTACCCTGCTGGCGTGTGTGAGCCCACTGTTTCGGAGCTGACGCATGGGCCTCAAGCCGACCGAGTCGACGCGGCTCCTCGCCGACTTCGTAGCTGAGAAGCACGACGTGGTGCTCGCCTTACGCCACGATGACATTCCGCAGGCGATGCTCGCGCGCTCGGCGCTGCGCTTCAACTTTTCCGTGCTCATTCTGCGCACCGCCGTCCTCTTTGCCTTTGCGACGATGACGACGTGCATCTTCCCGACGCACGAGCTGTACCTTGTCGAGCGCGGCCTCATGACCGCGCTCGTCTCGTCGGGCTCGGTACGCCATGACCGCCTTTCGCATTGTAAACGTTGCGTAGGACACGATCAACGCCAACTCGAGCATGAAGTTTGCCAACATCCAAGTCAAGTCGGACGTCCACGCCTGGGCGTACGACACACTGCTGCCGAGTCTCTTTGACGACGACGGCGAGTGGCGCGTCGCGTCAGAAAATGTCATTTTGACGTTTGCGATCGAAGTCTACAAGCGCGAACTCAAAGATTGCAATGCCAACATGGCCGACACGTGGGGCACGGTCTGCTACGCCAACGCCGAAGACGGCGACACGCTCGTGGCGCGGCACCAAGACAGCGTCGCGATCAGCTCGCGCTTCCGGCCGCTGACGGTCGACGGGATCCAAGCCGCGATGCAGGGCAAGGACGACCGGTGGGTCGACGAAGCCACCGCCCGCGTCGTCTTCCAAGTCATCACATACAACGGCAACCTCGACGCCTTTGCGCGCACGCGCCTCACCGTGACGTTCCAAAGCGGCGGCTTCATTGACGCGAGCGGCGAGGTCATTGTCGTGCCGAGCAACTTGTATGCGACGTCGTACCAGAAATGGCTCGACCTCTGCATCCTCTCGTACTTTGGCGGCACGCTGGGCTTTCTGCTCTTGGCCTTTTGCTGCCCGAAATGGTGCCACGTGTACATTGCGTCGTACTCGTCTGTCTTTGTGTGGCTCGACTGGGTCGTTGTCTTCGCCGTGAGTATGTTTTACCTCATTTGGTTCAAAGTGTACTCGGCGATCCTTAACTACACGGCGACAACGTTCGCCGAGAAGCACCCAAGCACAACCATGGTCAACAGCGACCGACTCGAAGATCTCGCGTCTCAAATGACGCGCGTCCGGTTCCTTGCGATCGCCGTCATGCTGCTGCTCACGACCCGGTATCAACATTATTTCGATGTATCAAGTGACACTTTTGGATAGCATTTTTGGCGCGATGGAGTTCCACCCGAATTTAAACGTCGTCACGACCACGATTCTCAAGTCGATCCACAAGCTCGGCGCGTTCTCGTGTGTCTTTGTACTGACCTTGTATGGCTACGTCGTCGCGGGTTGCCTCAGCTTTGAGGGCACACTCCAGTTTAGCAACTATGGCCGCGGCTTTGTCACGTGTATCAACATGCTCTTTGGGGATTTTGACTTTGAAGCGATCGCCCAAGTCAACTTTCCGCTCGCGGTCCTGTGGTACTTTAGCGGCATGGCGCTGCTCTTCCTCATCCTCTTCAACCTCCTCCTCGCCGTCGTCCTCGAGTCGTACACGGACGTGACCATGGAGAACGCGCGGTATCGCGACTCGGATGGCTGTGCCACTTCTATCGTATTCTTCGTAGGCACAACCGGTCGGTGCTCTGGGAGTTCTGGGTCGTGACGCGCGAGGTGTTCAACCCCGCGCGCTTCTTTGGCTGCGACGCCGAGACCAAGTTTCTACGCGCTGTCCAAGCCGGCGCCTTTGACCGCCTCGACTTTATCACGGAAGACGACGTCGTGCACCGCGCATACCTCTCGCCGCGCTCGGCCAAGCACGTGCTCGAGACCATCTTGCTCTACCGCAACTCGGTGTACATCCCGAAGAAGGAGAGCGAAGTCCAGAGCGCCACCAACGAAGACGTGCTCGCCAAGATGCGGCGCCTCGAAGACTCGGTCGCACAGCTCGTGCTGCTGCTCCAAGACCGCGAGATGTACCGCGCCTAATGGTGCACTGACGTACTACGCTGCTTTCATGCTAACAGCTCTGGAATGCCTTTGCCCAATAATGGATCCATATCATGTTTTAAAGCTATGCACCTTCTTGGGACTTGCATCTATAGTGCGGTCGTACCAGGGGCGCATCGAGAGCGACAATGTGCTTCGTCCAAGGCGATGCCAGTGTCCCATGATGACAAAGTTGCCAGCTAGCAGACTTCTAGAGCCCTCGGCACGGGCAGCTTCGTGCGCGCCAACCGCCCCGCTGAATTGTCGGGCCGATACCTTTTGGCTCCGAGAAGTGAGATACAGGCGCGGCTACTCGTTCGACAGCAGCCAATGCTGGTGTAGTATGAAGATCGCTCGGTACAAAGCTATGGCGGCGGTGGCTGCTGCGTGTCGCAACGAGCGACCACGCGGGCGTCAAAAAGGTGTGGCGTCGCTGGGTCGCGTACACTGTATTTTCTGCGACATGCAGGATTTTTAAAAGCCATATTTTATGTTCCATACCAATCACTCTATATGCATACACATTGTTTTTTAATATGGTCGTGTGCAAAGTCGCGAAGTTGCATTTTGAAATGCTCGGCCGGTCGAGTATTTGGCTCGTGGCGCTGGCCGGCGTCGCGCAGGCGGCGACAAAGGAGCTCACAGATACATGCAGCGGTGGCGGTGCCTTTGGCCTCTACCGGCGCGAGTCGGGCTGCGCGATCGGCAACTGCGACTGCTTCCCGGTCATTTACGAGTGCGATGGGCGTCTCGCCGATGGCATGGGCCAGTGCGCGCTGTCCCGTACGACGAAAGTGGCCTGGGTTCGAGGCTCACGCTGCGCCTTCAATATGTAGGCATCGGCTGGTCGCTCATCTTTCTCGCGTTCGCCATCAACTTGATTGTGCCTGCGGTCTTCCTCGTGAGCCACAACATCATGGAGCACGCCAAGGACAAGGCTGTGAGCAGCAACAACGACGAGCATGTGCTCAATGCGATGGACCAGTCCCAGCAGAGTCACGGACGGTGCGATGCTTCCTCGGTAGTATTCTTCTCTGACGCTGTAGCTAGGTTCTACATTGACCTGCGCCAAGTACAGTCTCGCGTTCGGTATGCATAAAGTTGACGACTTGGTGTAGTTTCGGACCACGGTGCCTGACACGGCGCTCGGTCTGCGTGCCGAGCCAAAGATCTTTCTAGAGACCATGTCCAAGCGTAGGTCCCTCCCTCGAGTGTTTGTCCGTCATCGCTCCATTAGGCTGGGTCCAGATTGTCTGCTACTGGCTCGTCCTGGCCTCGCTCGGCTGCTTTGTGCTCTTGGTGCCACCCATCCCAATGGACGAGACGTCGTTTCCGCTTGTGCGTCAAAACACAACCGAGATCAGCGCGACGTCGTTCGCGATTCAGAGCACGAGCACGAACGACTTGCCGGGCTCGACGCGGTTCCTCTCGCTCCAAGGTAGGCCGTCTCTTATATGGAAAATCGTTTGCGTAGTATTTGTGTAGGGGACTTTTGCGCGGTCGCCAACGATGCCTTGCCGCCCCAAGGCGCGTTCACGCTCACACTGTCGTACAACATTACGTTTGCAATGGACGAACACGTCCTCTTTGACCAAATCAATGGCTTTAAGGCGCTCAACTGCCTCTGCGACCACGGCACATGCGCGCTTCGCAAAGTCGAAGAAGGCGCGGCCGGTGCGCTCCCACTGGTGTACTTTCCGTGGTACCAAGACGCGTGGCATCCGTTCAAGAACGGGACCGAGCTCCATACGTTCTCGGTCGCTGCCTCGTTTTCGCTGGCATCGCGCGACTTGATCCCGTTCATGCGGCTCCGTCCGTTGCCGCACTTGCTCTTCCTATCCCATCATGCGTTCATGGAGCGCATTCTGGACGTTGTGAATTTGTGCATCTTTGTACTGGACATTGGCGTGCTTCTCCTGTGGGCGACCAAGGTGCGGTCGGCGCCGTGGCTACCCGAGCGACGCGTCGTCTACGTCATGTGCGGCGTCAACTTGATGGCGAGCTGCCCGATGCTGTACGTCTCCGAGTACTTGGATCTCTCCGAGGACTTTCAGGCGATGTTGTACGCGAGCGAAGGCGTCTTTGCGCTCAGCTGCGGTCTCTGGCTCCTCGCGTTCCTCTTCCTCCTCGACATGCAGCGCACGCGGACCTTTGGCGCTCGCTTCTTTGTCGGCAAGTTTGTCCTCGGCACGCTCGTCTTGAGTCTCTACCTCTACACGTACCTGTATGCAGCCGACCAATACCTCTCGCTCCTCAACTTTGGGCTGGCGATCTTGTGCTCGATTATCTATCGTGGGCTCATGGTCGACGTCCGCAACAATCTGCGGGCGCACGCTTACGCCGAGACACGCCCGGAGCAGCTCACGGCGCGGCTTCTCTACGTCATTGGGCTCACGGTCATGTACGTCTTCTTCTTTGTCGCGCTCGTCGCCGACCCCGTCCCAACGGTATCGCCATTTGTGCCCAAGACGGTCATCCTCACCGACTTGGCCGTGCAGCTCATTCTCCGGACAGCGACTTGGGTCCTCGCCGTGCTCTTCTTACCGCCGACGAAAGCGATGGAGGACCGACACCACCACGTCTACTACACGCGCGCCTTGACCAAGCTGCCTCGACTGACCTCCTCCCAGCGCGACTTTACGCTAGCCCACCTCAAGCAAGTCGTTGGCGGACGCTACAGCCGGTCCATCTCGCTGGACGACGGCTATCTCGAGTGGCGCGCGCCCGACGCGTTTGTCGTCGAGACAGCGTGCGGTCTCTACAACCAGTCGATCGCGATCTACGAAGAGCCCGAGTTTGATGCAGAAAAAGGCTGCTACGTCGTCGCGAGCGAGGCCCATTGGACCCAAGACGGTCTATCCTTGGTGCAGCCATTCTACGATGCGATGACCGACACGTACGGATGGGTTTTGGCCGGCGACAAGCGCGTCGTTGTCGTCTTCCGGGGCACGCTAAGCGCCGCCAACGCACTCACGGACCTCCAAGTGCACATGTGCAGACCGGCGTTCGGTCCGGAAAACGACGACGACGGGCCCATGGTCCACGCTGGGTTTCACTACGCGTACTTGACGGTGCGCGACACGATCCGCGGCATCGTCCAGACGGCGATGGCGTCCATGCCCGAGTGCCAGCTCTACCTGACCGGTGTGCCCCTGTCCCTCTCTGAAGCAGTGTGACTAATACATGTCCATCTAGGGCACTCGCTCGGCGGTGCGCTCGCCACCCTCATGGCCTACGACGTGGTCACCGACAGCCGCTGGCGCCTTGCCGAAGACATTGTCGTGTACACGTATGGCAGCCCCCGCGTCGGCAACCACAAGTTTGCTGCTGCGTTCAAGCGCGTTGTAACCAACTGCTACCGCGTGTGCGCGGACGGCGACGCCATTGTCGGCACGCCCAAGCGGTCGCTGGCGGCGCTCTGCTTTGCGCACCTTGCGTACAAGCATGTGGGCGACAACGTCCTCTTGTCGACGCGAGCCAAGGGCACGTTCCTGATCAACCCCAACATCGTCGAGCGCGCGTTCATCTCGCGTCTTCGCGTCAATGCGATCGCGCACCTCGGGCCGGCGTACATGAACCTGCTCGAGAACGGCACCAACTTTACCAAGAAACCCAAGTACGCGAGCGCCCGCAACCTCGGCGAAGCGACGCCGTTGCTCTACGACGCCATCTAGACGACATTAATCGGTGTATGGATGCCACTTGCGACCTTGGTCATATTGCACAGTTCGTCCGTTCGGGTATCGCAGTCGGGTGGCTACGGTTGGAGTGGCATCCGTGCCATGCATTACCGGTTAGCATACCCGCCACGGGTTGTTGTAGCTCAATATTGAAGGAGTACACAGATATATTCATTCCCATTCAGCGCTTTGTCTGCATTTGTACATGCGGACGATATCGGCAAGCGGCCACTTGGCGACGGCCAGCTTGAGTTTACTTGCGAAGACGGCGCGCGTAGCTGTTGGCGCATTGCACCGCGATGCTCAGCGTCTTGTCTTCGCCGACACACGGATCCCCAAAGAGCCTACACATGTACAATAAGATCTCTCGCGATGATCGAGAGGAGGACGCACCCGCTGTCTGCGTGCACCGTGCACGACGCTTCGCCGATGCAGAGCTGCTCGACCACGCCCACCGACGGCAAAGCGTCGCACGTCGGCACGGTCGCAAACGTGCCCAGGGTGCCGGACGGAGTACCGTACGACGCAAACGAAACCAGCGAGATCTTCTGGCCCTCCGGACAGCTCAGCGTCAGCGACTGGCCTTCGGGCACAGTGCCGCCAATGAGACTGTCCGTGTCGTCGACGCACTGCGCCTCGACGCTGAGCGACTTGTAGACGCCCGTGCACGGGTTGCCAAAGATGCCGTTGGTCGCCGACAAGATGCACGACGTCTGGCCGATGCACGTCGTCGCAACGATCTCGCGCGACGTGAGCGCGTCACAAGTGCTCGTCTCGTAGTTGAGAAGGAGACCCGTCGGCGTGCCGTAGGACGCAAACACAATCGAGCCGAGCTTCTTGCCAGGCGGACAGATGAGGCGCAGCTCCGAGCCTTCGGTGACGCTCCCGCCGACGACAAAGATGCTTTCCGAATAGGTCGTCGGCGCCGGCGTTGACGGAGTCGGGGTCGTTGGGGTCGGCGTCGTCGAGCCACTGCCTGATCCCGTGTTGGAGCCCGACGGCGACGGCGTTGCGCTGGACGAGCCCGACTGCGAGTTGGACGTCGGGGTCGGCGTCGGCTCGGGCGTCGGCTCGGGCGTCGGCTCCGGTGTCGGCTCGGGCGTCGGGGCAGGCGTCGCAATCGGCGAGCAAGAAGCGGCGACGCTCAGCGACTTGAGAATGCCAACGCACGGGTCGCCAAACTCCCTACACAGTCATCACATGAGTGCACGCTCATAAGGAATATCGTCGCGTACGTCGATGAGGCCAGCACGCTGCAGCTGTTCAAGCCGACACACGTCTGGTAGACATAGTCGGAGACGCCCGCCCGGTCGCACCACGACGGCGCGGCAAAGTCAGGGAACGATCCCGTCGGCGTGCCATAGCTCGCAAACAGAATCGAGCTAATCTCTTGGCCCGCCGGGCACTGCAGATCCACGGTAGACCCTTCCGTGGCCGTATCGCTCACAATGTCGCCCGGGATACACTCGACCGCCACACTCAGCTGCTTGTCCGTCCCGACGCATGGGTCACCAAAAGCCCTAGTCCATTGAGTGAGTCACCAGCAATCGACATCGAGGAGAACGCACGGAGTCTCGGCGGAAATCTCGCACAGCGCTTGACCAACGCAGAGGGCTGACACCACGGGCACCGACGGCTGGGCGTCGCACGCTCCGATCGCAAACGTCGCTGGCGTATCCCCCGTCGGCGTACCAAACGAGGCAAACTCGACCGAGCCGATGACGTAGCCGGGCGTCGGGCACTGCAGCGTCAGCGTCTCATGCTCGTCGACCGACCCGCCGATGAGGTTCGGGTCGGGCGTCGGCACCGGCGCGGGCCAGCACTTGGCCTTGACGGCCAGAGACTTGGCCGTGTTGACGCACGGGTCGCTGAACGCACTATACATCGACAAGAGCATACGTTAAAACCACACACACCAGATGCAAGATGTCGCACCCCGTGTTGACGGGGATGCTGCACGACGCCTGGTTGAGGCACAGAGACGAGACGACGTCGGTCGAGTACATCGAGTCGCACCAGCCTTTCTGGAAGAGCGACGCGTCACCCGTGGGGTTACCGTAGGACGCAAAGAGGATCTCGCCCACGACGTCGCCCGCCGGACACGCCAAGTCGAGCGACGAGCCGTCCGCCGCGACACCGCCAATCAAGTCAGGGTCCACGCACTGCACTTGGACGGCGAGGTGCTTCTCGACACCAGGGCACGGATCCTCGCCAAAGTACGTCGCCCTACAAGACACATGTATATAAGACCTTGCAAGAGAGTGGAGCAGCGACGCACTGGGGAGAGACGTCGATCGAGCACGAGTTGTGGCCAGTGCACGCGCCTTGCACGGCCTGATCGGACGCCGGTGCGTCGCACCAGCTGGCCGTGTGGACACCAAACTGTACCGCCGACGTGCCGTACGAAGCGAAGAGCACAGGTCCGACGACAAAGTTGTCGGGGCACTGCAGAGAGAGCGTGTTGCCGTCCGTGGCACTCGCGCTGATGATGGCCGGGTCCGGGTTGGGTGGCGTCACGATGACCGGCGCCGTGTCCTTGCAGTGGGCCGTGACACTCAGCGTCTTGTCCGTGTCGACGCACGGGTTACTGAAGGTGGCGCTCTCGGCCGGCACGGAGCACGAGGTCTGGCCGAGGCAGAGAAACTCGACGACGGCTGCGAGTACGGCGACGTGCACCAGTCGTTGACAAAGCGGGGGAACGCGCCGGTCGAGAGACCGTACGACGCATACAAGACGGCGTCGATGGTCTGGCCTGCCGGACACGAGAGCTCGAGCGTGCCATGTTCGGGCACCGACCCGCCGATGATCTGCGGGTCCGGCGGCGGCGTCGCGCACGTGGCCTGCACGGTGAGGTGCTTTTGCACGCCGTAGCAGTTGTCCGTAAACGCGTTGTTGGCCGGCACGGAGCACGACTCTTGTCCGAGGCACGCCTGCTGCACGATGGCCACCGCGCTCGGGTCGTCGCATGTACCGGTGGCGAACGAGCCGACGTGGCCGGTGGGGTTGCCAAAGGACGCAAAGTCGATCGACTGCACCGTCTTGCCGGCCGGGCAGCCCAAGTGCAGCACCGCACCCTGCGGCACCGAGGTGCCGATGATGTCGTTCGAGATGCACTCGGCGACGATAGACAGACTCTTGGTCGAGCCCGCGCACGAGCCCGTCGTAAACTTGTCGGCGGTCGCAGCCACAGTACACGAGTTCTTGCCGAGGCAGCTGGAGCCGACGACAAAGTTGCTGTCGATGGCGTGGCACGTTGGGTCGACGCTAAAGTCAGGGAAGATGCCGGTCGCTGTGCCGAACGAAGCAAAGGTGATGGCCGAGATGTACGTGCCAGCCGGGCATTGCAGCGCCGCGCTGCTGCCTTCACCGACACTCGTGCCGATGATGTTGTTGGGCACACACTTGGCCGTCACGTCAAGCTTCTTGGTGGCTCCCGGACACGGGTCGTCGCCAAACGTCCTATATCACACATGAGCCGTCGTGGTCATCCAAACGGTGGTGGAATGTACCCGCTGTGGACGTCGATCGAGCACGAGTTCTCACCGATGCACCGGTCACCGACGGTCGCAACGGCACCGGCTGCGTCACACGTCGGGTCGGCGGCGTAGTCGGGAAACTCGCCCGTCGGCGTGCCGTAGCTCGCAACGGAATCGAGCCAATGTACTCGCCTTGCGGACACTGGATCGTCGCCGACTCGCCATCCAATGTGGAGCTGCCGACGAGGTCCGCGTCCACGCACTCGGCAATCACCGAGAGTCGCTTGGCCACACCCGGACACGCGTCCGTAAAGACACTACCATGGCATCGATGATGAGACCACGGCACATTGTACTTTCAAGCAAGTACCCGCTGTTGGCGTCGAGCGTGCACGCGTTGTGGCCGACGCAAATGGCAGCAGCTTGAGTGGCGCTGTCCGGCGCGTCGCACCACGTCGAGACAAAGTTGGGGTACGTCCCAGCCGGCGTGCCGTACGAAGCATATTCGATCGACACGATGTTTTGGTTGGCCGGACACGCCAGCGCGAGCGACGCGCCTTCGGCAACCGAGCCGCCGATCCAGTTGGCGTCCGAGCACTGCGCCTGAACGTTGAGGTTCTTGGCCGTGTCGGGGCACGGGTCGCCAAACACGCTATGCACAACGTATGAGCACAAGATGTCTCATGGTCAAGGGCGCCAACCTCGTGCTGGCTTCGACGCTGCAGTAGCTCTTCCCGATGCACGCCGCCGCGACAACGGTCTCGGAGGACGGCGCGTCACACCAGCTCGACGACTCGTAGTTGGTCGGCGTGCCGTATGACGCAAAGCCAATGTTGCTGATGGTCTCGCCTTGCTGGCACGAGAGCACGACAGCGCCACCGTCGGTGGCCGTGGCTTGGATGATCCCCGGGGCGAGGCCAGCCGAGCATTCGGCCTGCACGCTCAGCGACTTGATGACGGTCTCCGGGCACGGATCCCCAAACACACTAGAGACACACGGTATCGTCAGTGCACCGCCTCACGCACCAAGTACACTCACTCGTCCGAGGCAGCCACCTGGCACGACGGCTGTCCGACGCACGACTCGGTGACAACTTCGAGCGACGTCGCAGCCTCGCACGATCCTTGGACGTAGTTGTTGGGCGTGCCGTAAGAGGCAAAGTTGATGGCCGTGATGCTCGAGCCGGCGGGACACGCCAACTCGAGCTCCGCGCCTTCTTGGACCGTGCCCTGGACCGTGTTGGCGCCGACACAGTCCACCTGAACGCTGAGATGCTTGTTGACATCGGTACACGCGTCACCAAAGACTCTGTCGTTTGCATGAGCAAGGAGAGAAAAGGGCGAAAGGGACGTACTCGGTGGTCGCCGCGAGGTCACACGAGGCGTGGCCCGTACAGAGAGTAGCGACCGTGGTCTCGGACGTCGGGACATTGCAGGTGCCCGTACGATAGTCGAGAAACTCGCCCGTGGGAGTACCGAACGAAGCAAAGGTCACGTCGCCCATGACGCGGTTTGCTGGGCAGCGCAGGCGCAGCAACGAGCCTTCGGACGCGCTGCCGCCAATGACGTTCTCGTCGACGCACTGGAGGGCAACGTCCAAGTGCTTGTACGTCCCAAAGCAAGGATCGCCAAAGACCCTAAACAAAATTCCTGTCAGCAACATGACACCGGCGTCATATGGAGCTTACGTGCTGTCGGCGGCGACGTCACACGCTTTGTTGCCGATGCAAGCCGACTGGACAACGGCCATGGACGTGGCAGCGTCGCACCAGCCGACGGCGTAGTTGGGGAGGCCACCCGTCGGCGTACCGTAGGACGCAAACAAGACCTTGCCAATGACTTCGCCGGTCGGGCACACGAACGAGAGCGAGTCGCCTTCACTGGCCGAGCCACCGATGATGCTGCCCAGCGCCTGCGCGCGGCCCCGCTGCGCCTTGAGGAGCAGCAAAGGCAGCGTGAGCGAGAGCTGGCGACCGTACGGGAAGACTTTCATATTTGCACGAGGCAAATTGGGATATGAGCTCCAGCCGCGACGCTGCAGAAAGGCCGAAACTCCCACATCACTCGGTGCCGCGACGAGAATAGCGCCAACCACCTCGGTGTGCTATGAAAAGACGGCACGGGGGGTTTCCGGCTGCCTCGCTTTTTGTCTCCGGGAGCGGTTTCTAGTGTAGAGCGATCGGCTGCAGGTAGCGCCCTTCCTATGATATTGCAAGACATGCCACCGAGGTGTGCGAAGTTGACTGCCTGTGGTGTCTGCAGTAGCTGCGCATCCATTATCAATGAGCGGCGAACCAAACCTGCCTTTACGTTGTCCTCACGACACTTCCCGTCGACGGCGCCCCACAGCCAGGTCGAATAGGCGGTGCGTTTGCAAGAGCAGTGGACGCAGGATACACTGCACCGAGGCGGAAATGGGGCGATCGGTGCACGTGCTGTCCAGTCGGGTGTGAATCCCGACCTTGCGCTTGGAGCCTCTACGAACATAAGCGAGCAACCGAACCTGCAACCGACACCCATGTCACTTCGCCACCCGCTGTCACCACGTCGTTCCGACACCTGTTCCTACACCAGGAACCAATGCAGTGGTCGAGAGACGCCGAGCAACATCTGATTGTGAACCTGGATGATCATCCTGGGTGCGCGTAGCGACAGTGCTAGAAAGGGCAAGAGAGCTCAACGCGGTGGTTGCCGCCGGAAAAGGTGGCCTGTCGAGCAGCTTTCTTCTTGATGACGTCGAACTGCATTTGTGATAGATAGGTTGAAATTACAGATAGCATTACAGACGACGTCAGCACATTTCGGCGATCGTGTGCAGGTCCATGAGGAACGAGTCGTCGACCACCGTGTGCAAGAACGCCGCCGTCGCGGTCACGTCCGAGTCGAGTTCAAGCTCCGCCTTGATGCTCACGTTGTCCGAGTCATCACCGCTCGACACCGAAAGAGGCGAAGAGCAGGACGATAACGGCTTGTGTCCGTGGCTCCGGCACACGCCCCGACCGCGCGCGTAGTGGGCACACCCCTCCACGGTGCAGAGGCGGCCGCCGCCATGGCGCACGCACCGGCGGTGGGCGTGGGCTTGCTTGGGACAACCCTCGATCGAGCAGAGCCGCTTACCGCTGGCGCCGCCGTGGGTGACGCAGTACGGTCCTCCGTGGGCTGCCGTTGAGCACGTTGGGTGAGCACACTTGCGCTTTCCGCCGTGGCGGACACAGAGGTCGCGTGCGTACGCTTGGTTGCTGCAGTTGAGGACGCTGCACCGCTTTCGGCGCTTATGGAACGTACACTTGGTCGAGCCGTGCACGGCCTCTTTGGTGCACTCGTTGAAGATACACGCCATGGTGGCGCCGCGCTTGAGCAGCGTTGCCGTGTGGAGGTCGAGCATTCGTGTCGTCGTTCGAGGTCGTTCGAGGTCGTCGGGGCAAATTCGGAAATGATGGCTGGCGTTATCCGCTGTGGTGTTTTCGACTACTAAACGTTGGACCGTGCTGGGTCAAAAGATGTGTCCGAGGCGGCCTGCGTCTGCAGCACACACGGTCGATTTTCCACCCAGTTGGTATCACGTGGGTGGCCTGTCTACACACGTGTGTGAAATACGTGGGAAATTAAACATGGCGTCCCATGGGTTGCACGCTACGACACAGGTCGGCGTTGGGTGCTGGAATGCAACAGCATCGTGTGCACTCATATCGACAGCGTGGGCTCTTGATTTTCTTGGGCTCTTGACGCTTTTCATAGCGTCAGGACGGCCCCGACACGAATGGGAAGCGGTGTGAAATCAATTTACACACGTGTGTTTTGAGGTGTGGTGGTTGTGGCAATTATCGTTCGTACAAGGTTGAGACGAAGCAGCTTGGGATGTCGATACAAGTTGATGGCCGTCGGTTCTTTTTTGGCGCGCCTGTCGGTGACCAGACGAGTACGACCATTGAAGCACATCGCACGCACGCTGCATGTACGCTTGCATACAAGAAAGGCTGGAATCGTATTGGTTCGAGCCTGGTCCTTCGGTTTTTACCATGCCCCACCGACCTCAAGAGTAGACGTCGATGCCAGCAATAGACGCCGTGCTGTGATGATGTTTGGGCCTCTTTATCGCATGCAGCGTCAACAGCCACGACCCGTCGTCATGGCTAACGTTGCCGTTCGCTGATGATGGAAAGCTCTCGAATTGCATCGTCTGGTCCTGCCATGTGGTTCCATTTGCACCGCTCGTCCACCTTTGCGCCCGCCATTACACCACTCTATTGCTGTCGATTTCGTACTTTGTTCTCAGCTGCGCCCGACAAGGGCTGCACCAGCCGGGACGACACAAGGGCTGAGTCATTGGATTCCAACGTGCCAGGTGGAGCGAGCGCACGTCACGCGTCTGGCTTTTGGACGATCCAAGCGCCTTGTTCTCTTGGTGCAGCGACCCATCTTGTAGGGACCGTGGGCGTGACAGACATTTGAAATCGAATGCACGTCTCTTTTTGCACGGCGCTGGGTTAATCGCTTCTTCTATCATCCAAAAGCAGCCTGATAACATCGCCTTTTAGAATGGTCTTCGCCTTCCACCTAGCAGCATTGCGGTCCTTCGACGATGCAAACGTGGATGCTCCGACGCTCTGCCCCGTCCCGGCCTCGAAGAACCATGACCTCACACATGGTACGAGAGCTATGTACGAGTGGTCGCAAGATGGCGACAGCGACTCGCTGCAACATGCACTGTTTGTACTTGTATCGTGCACGGCCACACAAGGTCCTTTTTCATTTCGTATCGGTCCCATCCCTCGCAAGTGTGGACAAGTGGATGGGTCGCAGTGACAACAGATGTTGTAGCTCTTCTCAAGACCGCAAACGAATGCAATGGGATCCTTCTGCAAGTACATTGTCATCGGTAGCGTAAGCGTTGTTGGAATGACTGATTGGTGTTTTTTCCGTTGAAGGAACACAAAAGACACGCCTGGATGCATTCCGAGTCTAGGTGTAAAAGAGGGTTGGCAGGCAGAGGCATCGCTTCGGGTTGCGCCATAAATCATCACGCAGGTGCACGGAATATCAAAGCCTCTGGTGCATTCTCATGCTCCGTCCGTGATTCCAGCAATGGGCAGAGTGGTATTAATACCACTTTACCCCTTTTCCTTACCACAAAAAAGATGTGGCAGGGCGCCGTTGCCATGCACTGTGTCAGAGGCCTCCCTACGAGGTGCTACACACTCTCAGAACGCGTAAGTGGCCCAGGCATCATGTTCTTGTGCATGACCAACCGGATGAATAGTAGTCCTCAGACACACTCAAGCGTGCATACTTCGAGACCCTCGGCCAGAACGATAGTTGCTCTCGTGACCTGATACCATCCTTGGATTTGAACATCCTTTTGAATGCTGGAAAATACCGCGTATCTCGTCGTGGTCGAAACAGTGTTTCGAAGCGACCTTCCATGAAGGATCCACTCCGGCTGCGCGAAGAGTCCGATGCACGGTCGCGCAAGGTCCAGTGGAATGCATCGACAAAGCTGACGACGGCGCGGCCAGCGCCAACGAGCCCGCGTCGCGACCCGCCAGCTGCGTCTCCGCCCGTGCAAGCCGCCGAGGATGACGGCGCCCGGCGACTCATCGAGCGGGCGTTTGAAAACGTATGGGCTCGCGACATCATCGGCCACGCATCGTCGTCGCCAACGAAGCCGAAACTGGACGTTGTGGACGAGCCGCCACCGATTGTATTGGACCGCCGCCTGTCGATCGACGTCGGTCCGCCTCAACGAACGACCGAGCTGCTCCAGCTGGAACTCGATCGCACGCAGCGCAAGATTGCCATCCAAGCCTTTCGCGCCCACGTCGAGGCTCAGATGCGCCGGCTTCAGGGGATGCTAGACGACGTCGCGTCCCGAGAAGCATGCATGGATGCTGCGTTTGACGCGTACGCTGCCTCGCTCAACCAAAGTAGTAACTAAAATGCCTTATGTATTGACCCTCAACCAGCGAATCCCTCGCAGGCCATTGCCAGCGGCGACGTTGGTCTCGAGGCCGTTGATAATGTACCCGTTCCCGCCGTTGGCCTCGCCCTTGTTGTGAACCACGACAGTCGGCGCCTTGTTGGGGTCATAGTCGGGCTGAAGCAACAGCGACGACGACTCGTCTCGATGGCCATGGCTCGTATACGACCGTGGTGGCGCTTGATTACCAAGCCGGTCGGCGTCAAAGCGCCTACGTTGGCGTGATGATGGCCATGCGGCATGAGCGAACTGCGAACCGAATTTCGCAGAGTGGCACGGCCTCCTCGATCTTGCTGTCTTCGTCATATTGTACGTCGCACGTCTCGTCATCATCGCTGACGGCGACGATGACGCCGGGGAACCAGAGACCGTCAATGTCTCGCTCGACCTTGGCCCCGACCTCGAACGCCATGGTCGGGTCCTTCATGCTTTCACCACGTTGAAACCGCTGTGCCCGGAATTTCAGCCACTCACAGCCCGTGTTGCCATGCTCTACGCAATCCGATTGGGCATAAAGAAATTATTTTCTGCCAACCCAAGCGCTCCAATCGCAACCTCGAAAAAACCACACTTAGCCCTACGCACAGCCATCGCCTTGCACACGACTGCGCAGTGCCATGGGAAGACGTACTATAGCATGTGTATCGAGGATTGACGCGTTGAAATGGCGTGTCATGGTCCGCTCGAAGGATGGACGTGACAGATAGCGCGCGTTCATTGGTCATAAACCGACGAATCCGATGCATGTCGATACCCGATTGGACGAGACGGCGGGGAGTTTGCCTTTGCCCTTTCCAGAGCAGAGTCGGCGGCCGCGCCGATGTTTTCGCTGCTGATGGGCTTCTGGAACTACCTCTTCTCCAAGGCCGAGGTCCACATCCTCATCATCGGTCTCGACTACGCGGGCAAGACGGTACGTTCTCTCGCCTCGCTACATCTCTAACCAAGCCCGTAGACGCTTCTGGAGCAGCTCAAGGGCCGCTTTGGGAAGAAGCCGGGCATTCCGCTCGACAAGATCCCGCCCACGGTGGGTCTCAACAGTACGTGTGCTGCCTACGCGCGTGCTTGGCCTCAACGAGCATCCATGGTCTAGTCGCCAAGGTTGACATTTCCCGCACTAACGTCATCTTTTGGGACTTGGGCGGCCAGGTAATTCTCGTCACGCACGGCCCATGTGCTCCGAGCACGGATGTTCTGAGCGAATGGTAGGAACGATTACGAGCCATTTGGAGCAAGTACTACAGCGAGAGCCACGGCATTGTCTTTGTCTTGGACGCGGCCGACGAAGCCCGTTTTGATGAAGCCCGGTCGGCGCTCGGTACGCCCTCTCGTCCAAGCCGATCCCATTGACATGGTTTGTAGACACCATGCTGGCCAACGCTGAGCTTGATGGTATCCCAATCCTCTTGCTCGCCAACAAGAACGATCTCGCCGACGCCAAGGACGTTGCTGTTATCTCGGAGCGTCTCGGAGTCGGGTCGATTCCTGACCACCACGAGACGCTCCTTCGAGCCATCAGCGCCCTCTCCATGTATTCCATACTCTCGCAACTGTCTTCTAAACGAGGATGGGATAGGGACGGTGTCGAAGACGCAGTGCACTGGCTCATTGGCGCCGTCAAGAACAGCGACCGATTCGTCGCCAAGCAAGCCAGGGCATAGTTGATGATATCCATGTTATGCAATACGATGCACGTATCACGTCCAAAGCGCCAGGTCCACCTGGTCGTACACGTTGCCGTTGGCGTTCAAAACAAACTCCAAATGCAATCGGTCCTTGGACGCTCGGCCGCGGAGGTAGCCGTACGCGTTGATGTGTGCGACACTCCACGGGCCGATCGCATCCGAAAAGCCCTGCGCCTCGAGCTCGGCGCCGGCCGACCCGACCACCATGTGCACGGTGCCGTGCTCGACGCACGTGCCGTTGAACACGGGGCACGACCGTTCGTACGAGTGCTGGTGCCCCGCCTATGCCCCGCCGTCCATTCGTGCGCTCCTTGTTTATATGCCGTACCAGCACGAGGTTGACCTTGTACTGCTGCAAGAGCGGCTCGATCGCGGCGCGAAAGTGCTTGGAGACGCGGAGGTCCTTCTCTTCGCCGATTTGTGTCGTATACTAGACACAGGCAACCGGAGAAATGCAAGGCGCAGAACGCGGGTCCTACCATCATGCGATGGGCCGTCACGACGACCCATGGCGTCACGCGTCGGTCGATGGCGGCCAGCGTCGCGTGCAGCCACTCGAATTGCACCGAGCCCGGCAGAAAATCGTGCTCGGATGACATTTGAACCACAGAGATGGGGCCGTGCGCAAAGCTGTACCAAAAGAGGCCATGCCCGTTCGTCGGTGCTAGCACAGAGAACGACGATAGGCGTCTCTGCGGTTGCAAACCGGCAACTACCGTGAAACCGGTGCACCATGGGCACGCCGCACTCGCCCGACGAGTCGGCGCCGTAGTTGCCCCAGCTCGGGTGGAAGCTCTCGAGGTGCGACGGGTCTTTCTCGCCGCCGCCAATGTAGTCGAATTCATCTACCAGCACCAGTTACCCTCTTCCCCGAGATGCAAAGCCCCTACGGTTGCCAATGCTTGCCATGTACGGACTAGAAGAGAGAGAGACATGTGGCCATTAAAAGAAGAGATGGACGTCGAGGTACTTACATGCGCATCGCGACGGGTTCGATGAGCGCGAAAAACTTGTCCCACTGCAGCCCGTTCCCGCGAGCGTAGCTACATTGTCCAGACTCGTGTGTGGAACCAATAAGAACCGGATCCAATCGCACCTAATGTCGCCGAAATGCAGCAGAAACCCATTGTAGTCGCGGGCAACAATGTCTTCAAAGACGCGGAGCGCGGTGGACCAGCCCCGGGGCGCGTCGTCGACACCCATATCTCCATACCCGATGAATGAGACGTCCGTGTCGGGCCCCGGTGGTACGCGCGAGAGGAACGACGCGACGGTGCTCCACCCGTCGACGTCGTTGCCAAACTGGTAAAAGTACTCGGTACCTGGCGCGAGACCATCCATGACCACGGTATGAAAGTACCCCGGGGCCCGAAACAGCGTTTGACCGACCGTGGTGGCAGGAGCGTGGCACCTACCACCGCCTTGTACCAAGTGTGCTACATAGAGAGGCGCGTACATGTCGGAGGCTGTGTACGTCGTTGATGTGCCGTTGCGAATCGTCGCACCTGCGAGCGACCGCGTTGGCCCGTACTTGACCATGGGCGTGCTCGCGTCCGACGCCGAGTTGTAGAGAAGAACCATCTCGTCAATGGCGTCGTTGAAGCCCAAGTGGCCTTGCTTGGGTGCATGGATCGAGTCGCAGAGCGGAATCGTAATGCTGCCAGCGCAAACAAACCCGGCGCTCGCGCGGTACTGGAAGTAGTGCGCTTCGTAGTCGCATCGGAGCATGTACAAGTCGTCAAAGCGCACAGAGCCGCCCGCCGAGACGTTGCGCAGCGCAATGTAGTCGTCGGCGCCCGTCGTCGGCCCACACGTCAGCGTCACATAGTCGTGCGGGTCCGCGGGGGCATGCGCCCACGAGATGACGACGTCGCCGCCCGGTGTCACAATCGGCGGCGTGGCCTCGAGGCGCACGGCGCCAAGCGGGCCATCGATGGCCGACCACGGCGATTCGCGCGCGAGGGTCATGGGCAGCGCCAGCGCCAGCAGCATCCTGCGTCCGTGCTTGCCCATCGTAAAGGTCGAAGGTCGATGAACGAGAAGAAGATCTCGCATTTCTGTATCCGGATGGGTCGACACATCCGGATAGCACCACGCTTTATCCGGATTCCAATCCGGACCACTCGGACAAGTGGATCGTGATGGCAGCAATGGCAGACGCCGGCGTCGCCTTTGGCCCGATCACGACCGCCAACGTCGGCGTGCTCCGCGTGCTCAACCGCGAGATCTTCCCCGTTCATTACACCGATAGCTTCTACACGGACATTGTCGAGACGCCGCATGGGCTCTCCAAGTACGGTACGCGCTAGCAGCGTGGCGGCGACGATATCTTAGCCGTGTGCGTAGCCCTTGTGGATGGCCTCGCCGTGGGCGCCATCTGCTGCCGCATCGAGACGACACTTCAGAAGCGCGAGCGCGTGTACATCATGACGCTCGGCGTCCTCGCTGCATATCGCCGGCAGCACGTCGGTACGCATCTCTCCATCTCGCGCGCGCCATCACCGCTTGATCGCGTAGGCGCAGCGCTACTGCAAAGCGTCCTTGCGTACTGCGAGCAAACGGGCATGGACCACATCTACCTCCACGTCCAGACGAGCAATGCAGGTGCCATCCGCTTCTACCTCGGCCACGGCTTTGAGATCCGACAGACGATCCATAATTATTACAAGCACATTGTGCCACCCGACTGCTACATCCTCGCCAAGGCCTTTAGGCGAGCGTCGTTCTAGCACGCTCGAGGATAACGCTCGTAAGAAGACATTGAGTCATATTGTCGGTCTCATGGCACTTAGGCGGCGACCTTTTGCCGCTTCATGCTCTGGCGCTTCTCCTCCGAGTAGGCTGCGGCCGCGGGCAGCTGGAACGAGATGCACATCATGAGCTTCTTGGGCGCCACGTCGCGCACTTGGTAGATGGTCGTCGTCGCCATATCGAGCTTGGCGCCAAGGATCGCTTCCGCGCGCTACAGCAACAAGTATCGTCAGCACTTTGCGTCTCTCAAGTCGTTGCCAGTGGAACCTCTTGGACGTCCTTTTCCGGTGCGTCGACTTCGGACGAGAAGCAGTACGTATGGATGAACGGCAGCTCGCCCTCCCAGTGATCAAAGCGGCCAGGAAACGCATCAAGGAACTCGAGCGCGATCGCCGGGAGGTTCATGAGCACTTGAGTAAACTGGATGCGCTTCTCGAGGAGCTCGTGGAGGAACGCGCGGCCGTCCATGTTGTGCGGGTGCAATTTGGCCTCGACCTTGTTCTTCGTCCGGTTGATCTGGAGGTACTCAAAGCTCTTCGGGTTGAGGTCGTTGGCGTAGACGGTGCAGCCCTTCTTGGCGAGCGGGACTGCGAACGGTCCAATGCCGCACATCATGTCGCAGATGATATCCTTCTTCGGGTCAAACTGGCGGATCATGCGCAAATGCTCTTGCTGAAGGCGCGAGTTCCAGTAGACCTAACCCGCCATATATCCGTGTGTGACGAGGCTGGGATGCGCTACCTGGGCAAAGTTGAAGGTAAAGTTGCAGCCGCTTTCGTGAAGCTCGACGACCATGTTGTCTTCGCCGGCGAGGACCTCCATGGGAAAGGTGCGGAAGACCGTATCAATCGTATCGGTCTTGTTGACGACCGTCTTGATGCGCGGGCCGTTCTTGTCGAGGATGACTTGGCCGATAATGTGCTTGTACGGGAGATGGAACTCGCGCAGGTTGATGTGCGCAATGTGCCCAATCGTCTCGAACGACGCCGGCACCTCCGTGATGGACGCGGGGAGCAGCTTCCGCAGCACATGGTCGACGCCCCAGAACGAGTAGTCGAGCTGGATCTCGTGCGTGTGCACGGAAAGGTTCTCCTTCTTGATGTACTCTTGGAGGTCGATCGGCGAGCTCTCAAGGCTCTTGATACTCTCGGCCAGCAAGACGAGCTTGTGCGCTTCCGCGGGAATCGGCACGACGTTGCGCAGCTTGGGCCGGTTGAGCAAATGCTTGGAGAAGAGCTTGACAATCTGTCCGATCTGCTTGCCTTCGGCGCGGACGCCAAGCACCTTGAGCGTCTCGAGGAAGAGCGACTTGTCGACAACCTTGGACGAGCTCATGCTGCAGCTACGAATATGACGGTTTGCTGGTGGCCAGCGTCGCGAACGCACCAATGGCCTTGCTGCCTGCCACTTTACCGCCTTCTTATTGGCTATTGAGTAATAACCAGTTGATCGCCGGGCTGATCCGGCTCACCACGCCGTCCCGTCACATCGACGCGCTGTGCTACCGTACGAGGCAATATCGCTTGGCCCCACGCCCTCATAGGAGATGCAGTGGCCGTGTTAGCATCGTTCCCATTGTCATATTGGTGCTCCTGGAGCGTCGTGGGTTCGGCAATCAACTGATCCATCCGATCCGGTTGCGGGCCAATCCGACCTCGGGCAATAAAAATAGCTACGTTTAATTGGCTAAAATGCGTCAAATCCGCGCCAATTGCCGTATATGCACCAATGCGAGCGAGCGTAGGAAAATACGCGCGTGTGAGTGGCTAAAAAGCCGTCTGAAAATTCAAAACCAGTCATTTCGATGGCAATCCGCAATTCGCTCATGTTGGCTCGTTTCGTGTCCCGTGGCCTGAGCCGCCGCTTCGAGGCCGCGTCGACGGTCCCTCTCCGCGCCTTCTCCCGCGCCGTCGGCGACGACGACGACGACGACGAGGGTCGCCGCAAGAAGAAGGCGGACGACGACCTTGGCCTGGACCTCGAGGAGATCGAGGCGCCCAAGAAGAAGTCGGATGGGCTCGAGGACTTTGACGAGGACGAGCCGCTCGAGCCGCCGCCGCTCTATGGCCGCTGGAAGGAGACGACCAAGCCGTTCCGCCAGCTCGCGCCGGCGGCCGCGCGCAAACACAGATACCAGGCGATCGCGCCCAAGAACATGGCGCTGGCCCGTCGCCGCCTCTTGGACGAATTCGGCGCGCGCTCCATGTCGTTTGACGACCCGCAGTTTGTCTATGACGATTGTACGCCAGCCATATTGGCTGCACACTCGACTCTCATGCGCAAACGTAGCGCTCCGCCCCGACATGGGTCTCCTCTACGAGAAGGACGAGCTCGACATGCTCGCCAACGACACGGAAGAGCTCAACTTTGACGAAGACGAGGTGCTCGACCTCGAGTCGAAGGGCTTGGTGCGCCAGATTATTTACGTCGACACGGTCCAGAAGGTACGCAAGCATCGATCTGATCCATGCCCTCATCAGGGGCACGCTAGCCGGTGACGCAAGGCAACATCTTGACGTTCCGTGCGCTCGTCTGCGTCGGCAACCAGGAAGGTGCGGCGGGCTACGCGGTGGGCCGCGGCGGCAAGATCCACGAGGCCATTGAGCGCGCGACGCTCCGTGCGATGGACACGATGGTGTACATCGACCGCTTCGACGACCGTACGCTCTTCCACGAAGTCCGCGGCAAGTTCAACAGCTGCTCGCTCTTCATCCGCCCGTCCAAGTTTGGTATGGGCTCGACGGTCAGCGACACGGTCGGCTGCGCGCTCTACTGCTTTGGCATCACGGACGTCGTCTCCAAGTGCTACGGCCAGCGCAACCCGTATACGGTCATCAAGGCGACGTTTGACGCGCTCGCCAAGCACGAGACGGCCGAGGAGGTGGCCATGAAGACGGGCCACTCGGTCTACGAGATCACCAACCTCGCCAAGCACGGCAAGATGTAAATGGAACAACATCGTCGCCCTAGATACTAGACTACCGAAGAAGAAGAAAATACAACTTGTTTTTAACAACAACTTGTCGATAGTCACTACGAAGAAGACAGAACACCTCGAGGTTAGCGATGTAGGCGACCAACAGCCCCCTTGATTTATTCCCTTGGCGGCGACCGCCTGTCCGAGCCCGTCGCCGCCTGTAACCAGCGCGCGGTTTCATCTCTCGCCAAAGGTCGTCGCCGATCCAAACCAGATCTTATTGGTGCAATGGCGGACGACGAGTCGAGCAGCGTGCACGATGGTGAGCCGCAGGACGCGCTGGACGCCCCGGGCGAGGCACCGACCGACAACAACATCAAGATCTTCCTTCGCATCAAGCCCTCCAAGAAGGTACTTCACCGCGTTGCATAGGAAGGGAATTGCAAGCGATGAATAGGCGTCGGGCTTCTTTACGTGGGAAGAAGACACAAATGGGATGGAGTACAACATTCCCAAGGATGTGGCGTCCGGCCTCATCAACAACTCGCGCACCAAGTCGATTGAAGATCAATTATCGTCCTTGCGCTCACGCCGCCTATTGTCGTAGCTACAAGTTCAAGTTTGACGGGCTCATTGGGATGACGGCCAAGCAAGAAGAAGTGTTTGACCGCATCGGCCGGCCGTGCGTCGAAAAGTACGACGTTTTCTACTTGTCTGTATTTCACACGACAATGTTGTCCATTAGTGCGCTGTCGGGCTTCAACTCGACTATCTTTGCGTACGGCCAGACCGGGTCGGGGAAGACCTTTACCATCACGGGCGGCGCCGAGCGCTACGACGACCGCGGTATCATTCCGCGCAGTCTCTCGCTCATTTTCGAAAAGATGAAAAAGGTACAAAAGACACTATGTTCCACACGATGAACCCATCGATAGCACCCGGAATGTCAAATTTCGGCCTTCATTTCGTACCTCGAGATTTACAACAATCAAGGCTACGACTTGCTCAACGAAGACCACCAAAACACCAAAGCCATTGAAGATTTGCCGTAAAATGGACAGCTTGACCATTGTATTGATACTCATGGATTCCGTGGATAGAAAGGTGAGCATGCTGGAAGACGAAGACGGTAACTGCCACCTTCGCAACCTCTCGATGCACCGCGTCGCGACCGAGGAGGACGCGCTCAATTTGCTCTTTCTCGTATCTATTGGACAGTATTGTCTTTTCAAATCGTAAACTGTAAATGATTAGGGCGACACGAACCGCGCCGTGAGCGAGACGTCCATGAACTTGGAGTCGTCGCGGTCGCACTGCATCTTTACCGTCTCCCTCGAGTCGCGCAAGGCGGGCAGCGAGGTCATTTTGCGCTCCAAGCTCCACATGGTCGACCTCGCCGGCTCGGAGCGGGCGCACAAGACGGGCGCGAAAGGCAAGGTGCTGCGCGAAGCCGCGTACATCAACACGTCGCTGCACTACCTCGAAATGGTCATCGTCGCGCTCCACGAGAAGAACACCAAGGGCCGGACGCACATTCCATACCGCAACTCGATGATGACATCGGTGCTACGCGACAGGTGCGCAAACAATCAGTTCTGATCGTTTTTCGATCAAGCGTGTAGCTTGGGCGGCAACTGCAAGACGGTCATGGTCGCGACGGCGAGCGCCGAGAAAGAACAGACAGACGTACACCAAGGCGCGTGGACGGTTGCTTGAACCTGAAAAATGCCTGCGTAGGAGTCGCTCTCGACGTGCCGGTTCGCCCAGCGCGTCGCACGCGTCCGAAACGACGCGCACTTGAACGAAGAAGTGGACCCGGCGATCGTGATCCGCCGCCTCAAAGCTCAGATCGTCGAGCTCCAGGAAGAAATCGTGCTCCTCAAGGGCGAGCCCGTACGTACAGTATCTCTCTTCTCATTGACGAGAGGTACGAATCGCATCGGTGGAACGCGCATAGAAAGAAGGCGACGAGCTCAAAGAGTACGAGATGGACAAACTCCGGCAAAAGGTATGTGGTATCAATGTATCAAGACAAGAACGATTGAATTGGGTCGTCTAGTGTTTGGACTATGCCAACAACCGCGATCTTGACGCACATTTGGCGATGGGTGACATTACGTACATCAAGATGAAGGCATGCTTTGCCTTCTTGAAGAGCTTTTATCTGGACGGCGTGGGCGACGGAGCGCCGCGCCCGCAAGCGACGAGCCATTCCAGCAGCAATAGCAGCAACAACAACCACGTCCACGAAGACCGAGGGGATGGACCGTCTCATGCGCGCATTATCGAGCTCGAAGAGACGCTGCAGCAGCGCGACAATGAAATCGCCATCCTTGTTGGGATGCTCAAAAAGGTACGACGAGTTCCAATGGGTTGTACCAAAATGTATTGATATTGAAATTGGGGGGGGTATTCACGCGGTCAGTAGGGAGGGAACAGTGTGCAGGTGGCCGACGTTCTCAAGACCGTCGCGTCCAAGCCGCCCGTGGCCCCCCAGGCGCCCCCGCCGCCCCCAATGGCTTTCAGGTCAAAATTGATGCCGCCTCTCTCGACGACCCTGCCAAGGCCTTTGAAGTTTTTCGCGACCAGTACCCGAAAAATGATGTACGCATTTATATTGACGAATTTGACAAAATGTTTGATTTGACAAAATGTTCCATTTGAACGGTAGGTCATTCGCGAAAACAAACAATTGCTCAAGAAAAAGTACGACGAGGCCAAAGCGCTCGCGCAAAACGTCAATGACGCGCGGGGCGTCATCAAGGAGCACATGGCGACGGTCGAGAAGCTCCGCAAGACCAAGGCCCTCGAGTCGCTCACAAGTGGCGACGAAACAACGGCCGCTTCGGACGAAGAGACGGCGCTGGTCGCCAAGATTGACGCCAAGAAAGCCGAGTACAAGACGGGCTTCAACACACTCAACGACCTCAAGAAGGAGATCCAGCACATTCAAAAGCTACTGGAAATGAGTCGCATCAAGCTCCAGAAGGACTTTGACTTGTGGTACCAGAGCCAAGGCAAAGGGCATTTGCTCACCGAGAACCTCGTGCACAAGGCATCGACGACGGGACTCGTATGTACAAGATGCATCCATTGTTGCTCATTCGACTTGTAGAAGCCGGCAGTCGACGAGTCACCTGCTGTACGCTGATGGGTTCGCTTCCATGAGGTCTAAGAATTCCTGTAGAAGCCGGCACCCAAGGCGGCGTGGCCACCGTCGCCACGCACGCCCAGCAGCAACCAGCCCAAGGACGCCGTTCCTACCACCGGCATCCAGTACCTCTGCAGCAACATGAAACGTTGTCTCATGCACCACCACTAGGGAGGTCGATAAGGACGTCTCGGGCTTTTATGAAGCGCTCGATATCCTCAAGCGCCGCAACAGCCGCAAGTAGACACGTGTCCAGTGTAGCTGTCTGTACTACGTTATCCTAAAGTGTACTACATCTAGACGTCGTCGTTCTCGTCGTCGTTGCCAGAAGATCGCGGGGGCTTGGGCGTCTTGGGGCCTTTTTTCATGATTTCTTCGACCTTGGCGAGCTCGCGCTCAAACTTGGCCTCCTTTTGCTGCACCTTGGCCTTCCACTTCTTGTCGACGTCGGGCTCGTCACCCTTCTTGTCCTTATTTTCTTCGTTGCGTCGTCGTCGTCGTCGTCGTCTTCGACCTCTTCGTAGTCGGGGAAGCACTCGCCGTACTCGTCCTCGCCGTCGAGCTTCTTTTGCAGCCGCGCGTGTTTTTCGAGGAGCTCGTCGCGCTCGGCTGCGCGCTGGTGCGCCTTCTTGGCCCGCGCAATCGACTCGGCGAGCGCTGTCGCCGCCGCTTTTTCCTTGGCGGCTTCCATCGCGGCCTTGGCCGTCAGCGTTGCGCTGAGATCCTTGAAGATCTCGCCCTTGGCCACCGCATGTGTGCCAACACCATCCTCCGGACGCATGCCCGGCGGAATGTACTCGCCCACGTCACCAAAAATATCTTCGTCGTCGTCGTCGTCGTCGACCGTGGACGCGACGTGGACGGGGGCGGCTGTCGGGGGCGGCGACGTTGGCACGACCTGCTTGGGCCGATGGCGCTTGCCTTCCGCGGCCAAGAGACAGTCTTCGACCTCGAGTACGAGTGATTGGGGGAGGTAGCCGGCGAGCGGGGCGTGCTTGGACCGGCGTGGGCAGTCGTCCTTGCTCCGCTGCACGAGCTGGGGCAGCGCGTCTACGTCTGGCGCGAGCAGATTGAACGCATACGAGAGGCGGCCGGGTAGAAAGAGGTCGGACGAGCGCGATGCTGTCGACGATGGCTGGAGGAGGTACTTGATGGCCTGCGCCATGCGGGACGCAGCCTTGGTCGGCACGGGCGGCGGCAAAAGTGACGTCGTCGGTTTGGTCAGCGCCTGCACTTGCTGCTGCAGCTTGGCCTTCTCTTGCTTTAGCTTCGAGAGCAGCGAGAGATCCAAGTTGGCTGGAAGCGCCGGCTTGGCCACAAGCTTGGCGATTTCTGGGTCGACGAGGTTGGCGGGCGCCGGCGTCACGTCTACAGAGCATGGGTGGGGCGATTTCGCGCGAGCGGCGTCGTACCAAGGGTCTCTACATCGCCGCCGGACCGGCGCTCGGCGGCGCGGTCGCGGTACTTGCCTTGGTACGTCGGGTCGAGCTTGGGCTGCTTGGGCTTGTCCGCTGCCGGCTCGGTCTTGAGCTTCTTGTACTTAGCCTTGCGCTCGTCGTTCGTCATGCTGCGCTTGACCTGCCGCGGTAGCCCCGATAGGACGCGGGGTGCGTTCCCATGCACCGGCAGCGGTGTGTCCATGATGCGCCGGAAGTCATCCTGCGAGAGCCCCGACATGCTGCTGCGATGGAATCGATTCGAAAACGCGCTTAACAAACACGGTTGACGGCTATATTCCGTTTTACAGTTCTTGTAATCGACATACAATTGAAAAGCTATTTAATGTCGCCAATATAATATAGTATACGGAACACTGGACAGTTGAAAGAGAGCGCCCTACTACTCGCCCTACTATAGTACCCAGAGTACCGTGCCTTTCGATGATGTACGTCAATCTCCCACTTTCAAAGCTCGTACCCGAGAGCATCGAGCGGGAAAACATTATACCCGTTGAACTAACCTACGTCCCATATTCCTGAATATTCGCAATACACCGACATTGCGGACGAGATGAACGAGATGCGCCGCGTCGTTTTGCAGCTTGACCGAATGACCATCTGCGGGCACCAAGGATGGGACGCGCCAGCGAGCACAGAGTAGTTAGTTGCAGCAGCAGTAGCGAGGTCACCAGGCCTGGGCTATGTCAATATGTCGAGGCATCGATGGAACCGTCGGCGTTTCGTGTGCGGCCACGTCATCACGTGCCCAGGCTGGACGATGACTTGGCTATCCCACGAGCGCAACGCAGTTGCATTCTTCGCAGCGACCCGGTTGACATCGCATCGATGGCAGCCAAGGTTGCACTCAAGGCTAGCGTGCGCTACGTGGTGTGAAGACGGGAGATGGGGTGACATCAAGTACCGCGTTGAGTGCGATTCAAACGGCCCCCGTCCTAAAGCGGACGGTCGGTGGTTTCATGTTCTTCTTGTCATAAAACGCGTGCGTCACGACGTCTCCTCGTTTCGTGGTCACCGCTCCGCAGCCTCGTTTTCCTTCAAGTCCTGCATCGGTGCTATCTCCACATGCAAGCAATCGCTTCGAGGTGGCTGCACCAATTGCTGCGTCGACCCGTGTTTTCAGCTCAACCGCTCTCGGTGGTTTCGTCAACGAAAACCTATCCATTCTATCAATACACAAGGATGTATACATATAAAAATGATGGTGACCAACCCGCACGCAGCAATGTGTATTTCGGGCTGCGCGTCAGTTGGCCAAGATTCGGTGCCTTGACGTCCTCACTTTGGATTTTCCCACTCGACGCACCGCAGCATGAAATTGATTCTCGCGACCGCGCTTGCGATCGCCTCGGCCGCGTCGGCTGCGAACTGCACGTTGGCGCAACTCACCGCAATGAGTGACCTCTTGGCGACGAACGTGACGGCCGCGTGCGCCACGAGCCTCAAGATGAACACGACGATCTCGACTGCCATGGGCAACCCCTACGGTGTGTGCCAACCGGCGTGCGCGACCGACCTCAACAGCCTCTCGTCCGGCCTTCCAGTCTGCGCCGAAACGGCGCCGATCGCAGAAGGCATCGCGCAAATCAGCCAGATGTGTACGAGCTTGGCCAACCCGACGACCAACGGTGGCCCGTGCACGGCAGGCGACATGATGACCCACCTGGCGGTATTCCAAACGCCCATGTGGGCGAATTGCTCGACTGCGATGAATGCCACAATGGAGTCGATCACGCCGACGAGCCCCGAGGCTATCCAAACGCTGTGCGCTTCCGCCACGTGCACTGCGTTTCTGTCATCGATGGAGAAAAGGCTGCCCAACTGCGTCGTGGCAGGCGATATCTCCAAGAACGCGGTCAACATAAAGTCGACTTTTCAAAGCATGTTTGGCTGCACACGCGCCGCTGTTGGGGCGCCGTGCACGATGATCGATATGGTGACTGTCTTGACTACTACCAAGACGCCAGTGTGGGCCAACTGCTCGACGTTCCTCAAACTACCCGAAGGCGCAACGATCGACAAGGTCATGCCCAAGGACGACGCCACGTCCCTCCCAGCCGGATTCTGCACCTCGACATGCCCGCAGTACCTCTTGTCCATGGTGAAATCCTTCCCGCCATGCACCATCGACGGCAAGAACATCTCGGATCCCACGGAGCTCTACACGCTGTGTCCCAACGTCAAGCCCGACAAGTCGGGGGCCGCGACAATCAGTGTTTTCACGTGGAGCTATGCCGTTGTGCTTGTCATGGCCGTCGTCGTCCTTTTTTAACCTGACGATGACATGTCCTTCGATATGAATATACTCTACAATATGCACAATACTCGGCACAGGTCTAGCACAATACTTGGCACAGTTCTAGCATCGTGGGAGACTGTCGCGCGGTAGCATCTTTTCGGCACCACCGAAGTGGTCATGCAGATGGTGATGAGGCATCGTTGCAAGTTTTGAAGACACAGCAGGTTTCAAAGGCCGTCTGCAGTCACTACAGTCACGGTTGACGACTGTGCTCCGCTATATAGTGCTTGTAACCGACATACAATTAAAAAGGCTATCCGCAGTCGCTAATATAATACATAATACG